ATACATAATGTCATGTAATGATATTAATGATATATGCCATTATGCATTTGTGAAAATCCAGGGAACTGTATAACATGAAGAGTGAAGTAATATGAAGTTCACACATACAAGTTCTAATATGAACTCTAATACATCAGTTAATAATAAATGTATCAATAATGTTCATCAACTGTAACAAATGTACCACACTAACACAAAATGCAGACAACAGGGGAAACTGTACAGGAAAGAGATGGTACACAGGAACCCTTTGCATTATCCAGCCATTTTAGTTAAAGTTGTATTGATCTATTTTTATTCAGTTATGTACACTGTTTTAAAAACACCACTACTGGGTATGATGGTGAATGCCTGATATCCCAGCAGTTTGGGAGGCTGTGGATCCTAAGTTTGAGGCCAGCCTCAGCAATTTAATGAGACTCTAAGCAACTTAGTGAGACACTGTATCAAAACAAAACAAAAAAAAAACGTCTGGGGAAATGGCCCAGTGGTAAAGTGCCCCCAGTTCAATCCCTCAGTCCATATATATGTACATCTATATATACACACATATATTTATATTTATAAATATATATTTATATATTTTATACGTAAAATGGTCAGTTATATATGTATATGTGTGTATATGTATATGTGTGTGTGTGTTTGTGTGTGTTACACACATTCCACCACACAGAGAAGAACGAGCATAGAGATTTCATCTCCTGGAATACACAAAAGAATTAAAAATACAAACTTTAACAAACAACATATATATCTTCATAGCATTATTCAAATTGTCAAAAACTAAAAATAACCCAAATGTCAATCAACGGATTAATGAATAAATAAAATGTACAAGTACACACACACAATGGAATATCATTCAGCCCTAAAAAAGAAATTTTGCTGGGCACAGTAGCACACTCTTGCAGTCCCAGCTCTTAGGAGGCTGAGGTAAAAAAAAAAAAATCGCTTGAGCTCAGTAGTTTGCAGCTAGCCTGAGCAATACAGCAAGCCCCCATCTCAAAAAAATTAAAAAAGGGAAATTTTGACATAATATGGAGAAGAAGACATTTTGCTAAGTGAAATAAACCAGATACAAAGGACAAATATTTAGGATTCCACTTAAATGAGGTCCCTAGTACATTCGGATTCATATAGACTGAAAGTAGAACAACAGTTGCCAAGGAATGATGATGGGGAAGATTTGGGAGTTATTCTTTTGGGGGTAATGAGAAAGTTCTGAAAAATGAATGATGGTTTGGTCGCTAACTATGTGAATGTACTCAATGATCATAGATATGTACACTTAAAAATGGCAGAAGTGGCCAGGTGTGTTAGCAGGTACCTACAATCCCAGCCACTCAAAAGGCGGAGGCATGAGGATCACAAGTTCAAGGCCAGCTTGTGCAACTTAGTAAGACCCTGTCTCAAAAATAAAATAAAAGAGCTGGAGGTGTAGCTCAGTGGTGGAGTATCTGCCAAGCATGTGGGAAGCCCTGGGTTCAACCCCTAGCACAAAAGAAAAGGAAAAGAAAAAAAAATAGTACATTTTATGCTATGTATATTTTACTAAAATTATTTAAAAAGTGCTAGAAAACTAGTTATATGTGTATGCACACACACACTCGCACACACACACTGCAAATTCCATATGGACAGCAAAACTTCTTTTAAACTTTTGGGGAAAAAATTGAGGAATATATAATTCATACCCTGAGGTAAAGAAATTTTTCTTGACCCCCCCCAACACAAAGACAAGCCACTTGAGGAAATTTTTCATAAATATAACATTAAAACTTGGCTGGGGATGTGGCTTAAGCGGTAGCGCGCTCGCCTAGCATGCGTGCAGCCCGGGTTCAATCCTCAGCACCACATACAAACAAAGATGCTATGTCCCCCGAAAACTAAAAAATAAGTATTAAAAAAAAAACATTAAAACTTAAAATTTATTTATAACTAAAGACATTCTCTTTTTTTTAATTACCACTTGGTCGTGGTGTATAATCCTTTTTATTTTATTTATTTTTTTTTAAGAGAGAGAGAGAATTTTAATATTTATTTTTTTAGTTTTCAGTAGACACAACATCTTTGTTTGTATGTGGTGCTGAGGATTGAACCTGGGCTGCACGCATGCCAGGCAAGCACGCTACCACTTGAGCCACATCCCCAGCCCTTCTAAAGACATTCTTAACAAAAGGAATGGAAAGTCTCAAACTGATAAGATGCATTTGGAACACAAAAATCCATCATAGAATTAGTAGCCAAAGAAACAACTATTCTTCAGAAGTTAAAAGATGCAGAAACTGTGATTTAAGTCTACAAGTGAATATGCTCTGCAGTTAAAAACGGACCATATCTATAAGTAGCAACAAGGTTAAATCACCATCAATTATAATTCAAAAATGTGCACCCCTGTGATCCAGCAATTCCACTTTTCATCCACTGGACAATGGCCATTAATAAGGAGAGGACTGATAACTACAATATAGGACAACATATACTAACATAAGAGATTGTTAAGAAGACTCAGATCCCTATGTTCAACCCAAAAATATCTCAAAAAAAAAAATCTTTTAGGAAAAAGAGTTGCAAAATGAGGTGGACAGTATGATGTCATTCATATAGATAATGTTTTCATATTATCTATATATTCATGAAAATGCATAGAGAAAGATATGGAGGAAGTACAATAAACTGCCAATTATAGTTCCTACAGAGGACTAAGTAGATCAAGGGGGCTTTTACTCTGTACCATTCACAAGCAAGGGTGCATCCTGAGCCACTTGAAGAATCACAGCACACAACCACACAGACAGCGATGTAACTCTAGGAGCCACCAGACACAGGGACTCCAATTCAAACAGCATCCCTAAGGCTGGGCAATACACAGCCTGCACAACTACACACCACAGATCTAATATTTGTATAGTAAGAAATATATAAAATGAGAGGCTGCCTGCAAACTAGCATGAGGAACTTTCTATACTTTGACTAGAATAGTGGTTACAAAGTACATATACTTTTCAAAACATTCAACTCTAAACATGAAGTCTGCATTTTATCATATGTATACTGTACATCAAAAAAGTTCAGTTTAAAATAAATACAAATTGCCAGGCACAGTGGCACATACCTGTGATCCCAGCAACTTGGAAGTCTGAAGACAGAGAATTGTAAATTTGAGACCCACTTGGACAATTTAGTGACACCCTATGTCAAAAAAAAAATATATATATATATGTATATATATATATATGTATATATATATACATATATTTTTTTTAAAGGGTTGGAGATGTACATTAGTGGTAGAGTGCTCCTGGGTTCTATTCCCAATACCAAAATAATAAAATTAAATAAATATAAATTAAATATCTAAATAAAATACTGGAAGAGCCAGTATTTTATTTAGATATTTATGCTTAAGGAAAGCATTGTATAACATAGGCACCCCAAAGCAAGAACTAGTACACACATGCTAGTACCCTGAATTACACAGTACTAAAATGAAAATTAACTTACTACTTCAAGGCTTACCACACAATGCCAAGTTTCCATAAATAGTACCTCTATTTTTTGCACAAGGAAACCGAGGCCCTGAGAAATTAATAAAAAGACATAAACAGCAAGTTGAAATTTTAGGTTCTAAGTCTAATTTCCTAACTGTAAGTGGAAAAGTTGTCTCTCAGGCCAAATTTAGTGGAACCTAAAAATCTTGCCAGCACTACCTTGACTGCACAACCCTCTTCAAAGGCAATTCCACTTAAGTCTGATAAAAATCCTCAGAGAACTCATAAAAGGTCAAGTTTTAATTTGGCAGACAAAGTAACCCAACAGGCACTGCAACCCAGGGAACCAAAATAGCAGCTTGGAGCTGGAGAGTCCAATCAAGGCAGAGGACAGGTAAAATTCTGGCCTTGATTTCAGAGCAAGAACACTTTTTTTTGTTTTTCCCCTACGGATCTAACTTCCAAATCCAAGAATCGCGATAAAAATGACAAAGTATTCTCTAGGCAAAAGCGCTCTCTTTCCTCCTCATAGGACAAAAAAAAAAAAAAAAAAAAAAAGCCAATGCTAGAAGGATCAGAATAGGATGATCTCCAGCAACTATCCCAGGAGCAAGCTCCTCACTGCCAACCTACAAGGAACACGAGAAAGTGGTAGCATGGTCACAGGGATGATTCCATCGCCTTTGCCATTACTGTAACATGCCCAGCTCTAAGAACCTAGGATACCTCACAAGGCAAAAGACAAGAGTGTGCGCTTGAGGGACATGGTAAGTCCATCAACCATCCCTAACACTAGAATAATTGTTACTGCTCTGTATAAAATGTAGGGAAATCTTGCTTCGTTCATGCATTCACGGCAATGGGCATTTATTGCACAACTGTTGTGCGACAGGCCACATTCTGAGGATTTAGCAGCGAACAGTAATGGATCTTAATTCCAGTTGGGAAGGAAGGGAACTTCCTTTCTTTCCAAATTTATTTTCCCCCTCTCCTTTACATGTCACGCAGAAGAGCCTTCAAAACTTTCCCAAATTCCTCCCACAAGCTTTTCTTGACCTTCCTACTTTATCCCAAAACCAAGCAATTTACAGATCCAATTTTCCAATACTGAGAAAATACGAAAGAGACCTAAAGTGAGTAAGTCATGAAACATAAAATTCAATGCTACTTGGTTATTTTACATGCATACCTTCCCGGCTAAATTGTTAACACCTCGACAGCAAATTATGGTTGTGTTTTATACTATTTCGTGGCCCAGTGCTGATCACGGTTTTCTACGCACAGTAGCTAATCAATAAACGTTTGCTAAGAATGCTAAAAGGTCTCCCTAATCCCAAGGCCTGGCACTGGAATTTAATAGCGAGCATTCGTTAGCTGCATCCTTCCTCCTCTCAGGACACTTTCCTTTCCAGGATGACCTCGTGAGCAGGTTGGCTATTAGGCGCCTCGGGAAACAGCGTTTGGGGAATAAATTCCTTTCTCTCTGCCAGGGCCTGCCTGCCTCACCTGCCCTCTGCCAGGACCTGCCTCATTCGCCCCCTTCCACACCTAACGCACAGCCTCCTCCCAGCGAGTCTGGCTCAGCAGCATCTGCCCGGCGTCCGCACCCGGCTCCGCCGCCGGGAGCCCAAGGCGCAC